TCCCGGAAACGACTTTCCAATGCGTTGACTTTGGTCTCAATTAGATCCTGCCTTTCCTTAAGTTCCGCATTGTTCCTCACCAGATTTTGCTGTATTTGTTCTATTGTTCCTTCCAAGGATATATCTGCTCTCTCTGTTCAAGTATTTGTGCATCCATCTTTTGTGAGATGCTGGCGTTCTGTGCATCCATCTTTTGTGAGATGCTGGCGTTCATTTTTGTGTCCTGTGCATCGAACTTTTGTGAAATGCTGGCTTCCTGTGCATTCATCTTTTGTGAGATGCTGGCTTTCATTTCAGACATATTTTGTGAGATCGCAGTCAATAACATGTTCATGTCTATACCCTTAGATGAGCCAGGAGCCTTCTCTTGTATCTTACTTGATGGTGATTCCAACTCCTTCACAGAATTATCAGCCTCTTCCTTGTCAATGTCCTTCAAGGATACATCTTCATCCTCGCGATGCAACTCGTACTGGATTGTTAAATAAAAACTCGCCAACTTAATTTGCAGTTACTTTACTTAAATGTAATCTCCAGCGCGTTTACTTTACGACTCTACACTAATGTTCTCGACAACGAGTTTACTTTGTAACTAACTTAACTTGGCAGCTGAGTGTCCCCTTATTTAGCAGTCGGCTGCTCGCAGACGAAAGTGTAGAATCATCAAGTTGTTCGCTATTGAAGGTTCTCGTTAGAATGTATGTTATCGGCTTCTCTCTTTCATCTGACATTTGCCTTGTTCGCAACAGTACGTTTGATCGGGGTTTATATTCGAAATTATGAAATTCGTTTTCGAAAATTATAGATTTGTTTAAAGTTGTTGTTATGACCTTGCCGAATAAGTCCCAATGATTTCTAGAATACTTCAAGTTCGATCACTGGATTGTTAAATAAAAGCCAACCCAATTGTTGTACAACTTCTTAATTGTAAAGAATTCAGTCAACGTTTATTTATTATTAAATAAAAGTCAACTCAATTGTTGTACAACTTCTTAATTGTAAAGAATTCAGTCAACGTTTATTTATTATCCAATAAATCAACATTTTCTTTAATATACACGGGTACTTATTTTAAAACTTTCTTGAGAACAATCAAACAGAACTTTCTAGAGACACATATAAAAAATGGTTACAGCCAACACAGCACCACTTTCAGTTGAGCTTGGTATGAACAACAAGTATATTCTAGTTTAATAATATCATTTTGAAGGTGAAATAATACCATTTGGTTATTTGTATAGCAGGCCACCAGTAACGGGATATACTCCGGATCAAGTCTCACTAGGGGAAAATTGATTTTTTTTTTGTGAAACGAAACGCCACGGCTGAGTTTTTTTTTCCTAAAATGTTTTGTTGAATTGCGCAGATTTCGTTGCTTTCTACTTTATAACGAACCCCCAGCCTAGTGGTTAGAGGTCATCACTGTCTGTGTAATTCACACGCCTAAATGAACTGGTATACAACTAGTATAGATCTATTTTATTTGACATTTGTTACTCTTCATTTTTTCCCTCTTCCGACACCGCCTTTGTTTATTTCCTTTTTTATATATTTTTACATTTGACTAAACATCAACTCCACCCTTTCCAAAGTGTAATCTAATTACATATCTTATCCTTTTCACTATCATCAGAGTCAGTCTCAGCGGCTTCTTCAATACTCTCTAATATTTATTGCATTAATTCAACTTTATCTGCAAACTCCAATAAATATATTTCTGAAATATTTATTAATAATTGGATACATATACGCATAGGCATATGTTTGCATGCACATATATATGCAATATGTAAATATCGTACTAAAAACCCAATTCAAAATTTAATTTTCAAATTTACAGCATTTATTCGTTCGAAATTTAAGACAAATACAAGCAGTTCTCTGTGAGAAACGAAATAAAAAGGATAGTCAAAATCTACAGAGGCAAATAGAAACACAAAACGTGTTGAACGAGTACATCGACGCCATCTTCCTTCGATACACCTCATAATTCAACTATTTCATAATCATGGACGAATTTCTCATTGAGGTTTATGATGCTTCAGTAAATCTTCTTGTTTGAATTATCATAGTGATATTTTCCCATAATCTGGTGCGCCGTACAATTGAATCGCCCACACCTCTCAGCTCTCTGCAGTTTCTTCTTGCACAAGAGGTACTTTGTATTATTTGCTCATAACTCCTAGATTTCAGTTTTTTAGTAGCGACACATTTCTTACATTGGTAACTAAAAGGGTATTCTTAATGCCTAATGACCACTCTGGAATTTTTCGTAATGGCGTTACGACTTAATAATCATCTTTATTTCCTGAAATCCTAAGCAAACATTTGATTATCTTTAATATGTTCCATTGTGATCAGTAATTGGTTTTGCTATTGGGCTTTATTTTTGCTGATTTCCTAAAAGACCAGCTCTATCTCAACGTAATTTGATCCTTTTAACTAATGCTGCAACTACCCAACTCACGTACCTTCCATTCATAGCAACCTATCTTATGAGAGCGCCTTGTAAACACAAATTTGTCACCGCTTGCAAATGCCGTTAGTGACGGTTGTCCCGCAGAAACATAAAGTATTAGTAAAAAGTATTACAATGTTTCAAAGTCGAGCTCTCAACAACCTTAATATTGTTACGATTTTGCTGAATCAACCTTGATGATTTTCTGAATCGATCGGGTACGATCTCTGGATTGTTAATTTGCAGTTTCTTCGTTATTAAAAATTTATCTAATGTCCTTTACTTTACTCAGTAATTCACAATTCAATTACAATGCACTTTACTTGTTACAATAACTTGTATAAAACTTTCACAATTTACTTCACTTAAATGTAATCTCCAACGCTGCTTGATCTTTTCCAGCGTTTTTGTAATGCCTAGGTGCCCTCCACTAGAACCCTTATTAGCCGGACATCTATTATGGCTTCCTTACCCTCAGCAATGTTTACATTCTATATTACATGGTCGACGGGACATAGCGTCAGCATTTCCGAGCATAATGCAATCTCCAACGTGGTTACTTTACGACTCAATATAAACAAATAGCTTATTCCGCTAAACTCTATACTGATGTTGTCGAAATTTTTTAAGAATACTGGTACATTTAATTATATTTGAATTTATGTACATATATGTATGTATGCACACGGGTTTGGAGCGAAAAATATATAAAAAAACATTGCTATATTGAACTATATATTGAACCTTATAGACAATCTATAACTTCCCTGCAAGAACGGGCTAAGGGTTCACTAATGCACTCACACGATTTCGGGCAGCACTAACACATATTTTTTTTGTTTATCGTTCTCTTCTGAGTACATACAAATTAAAGAAGAATGCAGTTGAACGGATTATCCGATTTTCTTTGCTCTTATTTTCGAGTAGAGCACCATTTTTTTCTTATCATTTTCTACGCAGTAGATGGAAGTGAAAAATATACAAGCTATGGTAATAATATATTTTGAATTAACTAGTTGCTCCAATCTCTTTGCTTTTTACATTTATTTATTTAAAGGTACTCTATTTCCTACGAAAAGATCAACTAATGAGCTGTTTGACTGGAATGGACGCTTCTCATCTAGCCGCAGTAGCAGATTTAAAAATATTCGACAAAACTTTGCGTTGAGGTACAACTGCATTGAGACATTAATAACATTCTGATTCGAATATTGATTTTTTTATTGTACTTGGGCATCTTTATGCTTCAAAGGAGCTGCGATAATGACGGAGGCGTTCGTGGGGCTTTGGAGCTGCGTCACCAACGCATGACACTATTTAAGACTTTTGTAGTGGTTTTGCTTACAATATTTTGCAGATTTTTGAAAATTAATTTATTGTTATATTATTATTTCTTTGTATGCTATATAAACCATGTACCTGATCTATGTAAAACCATTGAAATAAAGACTGAATCTTAATAATGTTTGTATGTATGGAAAATTTTTGTCAAAGCTGATTTCCTTTGGCATCAATGCTGTCACTCATCTATATTCGGCTTGTACGGCACTGATGCCATTTTTATACGTCCATATTGTTTTCTTTTGTATCAATGCTGTCGCTCATCGGCTTGTACTACAAGAATGAGGAAAATGAACGAGGAAACGAAGAGAGAATGACGTACACGTATACAAATGTAAACATCACATATGTCATTTCGGCATTAAGAAAGTGATAGGAAAATCGTTCTACAAGCTGACGGGAAATGTCGTTATGGATTCCTTCTTGCAGGGTTATTATTATAATAATTTTAACTCAGTTGATAATTTTTTTGTACTAAAAATTGCGCGGTTAGTTTTCGAAAGTTGGATATTTACAACCTGTCCCCATTTTTTCTAACATTAATGGAGCACTTAAGAAATGTTGGCCTAAAAAGAATACTTTCACATTTATATATATATATATATATAATAGGCGTTTTGTAACCGCGGAAGCGATTTCCGGCCGAGCTAGTATCCATTTCTACCGCGGCATTTTTCCGATCATTCCTCATGGGGTGTTTAGACTGCCCCAATCACCTGGAGGAGAAAATACAGAAAGTTTTCGAAGCAGAAAAGGTTTCTTGTAAATTGGAAGTAATGGACTTTGTATGCAGGTGGCCTGGTTCTGGACATGATAGCATTATTTTTAGTAGAAGTTCAAGCGGATGCACCAGAAAAAACATCCGTTGATGCTGACGAAAACATAGCTGAGGTGCAAGGAAACCATATACATATATTACATACATTTTATACATGTAATTTAAAACCATCAGAGTTTATTTTCCCAAATAAAAATATACATATGAAATAAATTTCATTAAATTACAATTTTTTTCCATAACCACAAAATAAAATTCAAAAAAAAAAAAGAGAAAACGGAAGATCTTAAGAATTACTCAACCATATAGTGTGATAAAATATAAGTAAATACCAACTGTCATGCAATTTTGCTGTATTCACATTGTAATTTTTTTTTTTAAATATTCATAATGATCAAACTAACCAAGAATTAAGTAACCCCGCCTTGGTGAAAACGAAAATGTCACATCAGTCTATCCGACGGTTAGCTATCCACCGGTTAAAGGTTGAGTTAATCGGACATTGTGAAAACGGGCATAAAAACAACAAAAATTAAGGCTCTGTCACAATAAACATAGTAATTAGACACAATTATACCTCAATTCTCATTTCATATTTGTAGATTGTAGATTTAATAATATTGGCGCATTAATTGTGCACCGTTGGAGACTATTTATAACATTAAAGTCACGGCTGCTGAATTCGTCTCCAATATTGAGTGGTAATCGTAACTTAACATTTTTGTCATTAATCCTTTAATCTAAACTTTACCAAAGGCTTTTTATAAATCGTTGAAACATCCGGTTGGTTGTCTTTTTTCAACTACAATTAATACCTGAGACCAGCAGATTAATTGCGTGGATAGTGGAGTGTTTATATTTGTAACCGAATCGGTTATAACTTATTATTTTCTTTTCATCTAAAAATTAATTTATATATATAATAATCACTATCTCAAATATTTTGCTTATATTGGGTAGCATACTTATTGGTCATAGATTGCTGAATTTACTTTTATCTTTTAAATTTTTTTAGGAAACACCACGAGTTTGGCTGTTTTCCATTGGTTTGGGAAGTGCGAATTGTTAAGTAAATTGTTAAATAGTGTATAATAATCTCGATTTGAGTACAATTTTGGGGATTTGATTTAGGCCTGACGAAACAGCAGTCACTTCTACCATTTATTTTTTTTTGTATAATATAGCAAAAATATTCAATTCGTACGAACAAACCAAGTCTTTAGCTCCCTAAAAACTTATAACAAAAATTAATTGTACTTACTGGCAGCAAAAATAATTATGAATTTATAAGTTGAGCTCGACAGTTAATCCTGCTTATACATTTTTCAGCCAATTAACGCCTGAAAGTATACGGCATTACAACTCACTAACCCTGCTTTAAGAAAGTAGCGCCTAAATTAATAATGAATTGAATACTACAACAATAGTTTACGTAGCTAATGTTGCGCCTGTTAAGTCGGTCCCTGCCATAAGAAGTCCTTTAATAAATAACATCGACTAATGTTTAGGCTTTCATTGTAGCATCTACTCTGTCATAAGAGTTTCATCTGTCAAAAAAGTCGAAGCAGGTTTTATATGAATCAGTCCTTCAGTCGTGCATGATCTTATTTGTTTGGTGACCATTTTATGGCTACCTTTCTACGACCAACCCAGATTCTTTAGATAAGACCTTATCTCTTTTTACAAAATGTGATAAGAGTAAACAAAAATCCTAATAATTTAGGAGAATGTCATTAGCTCCTCATAAATATTAATCAGCCAAGAGTAACCAGAGTGATTTTGTCTCAGATTTCCAACATAATTTTGTTATTAGTGGTAATGCTGTTTCCTAAATAGAAGAAGTAACGTATGGCCTTTGAGTTAAGGTTGCCAGTGATATTAGTGATTTAGTGATTCCAAATATATATATATATGTCCACTAATGCTACCTCTCTTTTACTAACGTTTCCAAAATGCGAGACTGCTCCTCAAGAGAATAAAAACAGTAACTGCGAATCCAAAAGCAGGACTACTCTCCAATAGACTGTTGTAAATCCTATTTTCGTTCGGAATCAGAAAAAAAATTTTAAATTAATGTTCTATAATTTTTGTACATGCTCATACACAAACAGTTATGAAGGTATGTATTATTTTATGTATTTTTATTTTCCGCTAATAATATATTAAAAAATAGTTATATCAGTGATGTGTAAGTAATTTTTCAAGAAACATTTTCATGCAATGTCTATTGCCGATACATGGCTGACTGCAGCAATTGCAATTTAGTGGAATGAACTCGCGGTGGTGAAAGTGAGGTTAAAGGTAAATATGGCCCGGCATTACCAGATCCTGTACCGCCAACAATGCCTCCACCTCTGCTTCCAGACACTCGATTTCTGGAGCGTTCATTTGAAATAAACTCAGCTACTGGTTGTGGAATTTCTCCTCGGAAAGGTCGGACTTGGGGTGTGCTTCTAATGAGCTGTTCAATTTGTGACAGGCCGTGTGCTTGCCGCCTCGAGTTTACTCCTTCAAATGTTTCTAATTTAGGTGGCAGGACCAAATTACCGTCTACAATGGATTTACCATCAAATGTAACAACAGCGCCGCTTGGTAAGCTGGCATGAGGTATCTTGCGATTATCTGGGGGTAGGTAATATGTGTCAATGCGTTCTGCGGCTTGCGCTTCTCGCTCATCTTCTTCATCAGCTTCCTCCATGTCATATGTATTATCTTCTACACTTAGGCTTTGGTTTTTCAAATTCTCGGAGAAATTTTCCTCAAGTTTTTCGCCTTCTATGATTTTCTTTGTAGCAGTTTCATCCAATTTAGTGGTAGATTCTTCCTCTAAAAGTACTTCGTCCAGGTCTGCTAAAATATCTTCTAGGGTTGCATTTCGTAATTTTGCTGCAATTGGAATTTCGGCTGAAATATTAGAAACATGTTCGTTTTCACTTATAGTCGACGAAGATGATACGATATTTCGTAAATAATTAGAAATATTGGTGCTATCAGGAGGCGATGGAATGAACATTGGTTCAAAACTCTGTGTTTGTGCCAATTTTTGGGCCGTGAGAAAAAGTGTGTCCGTTTCCATTGCTTCGTTAATTTCTGACCCCGGATCTTCACGACGATGCGCTACTTGATCTAGAGAGAGTGGCGGTAGAACATTTTCTGCACGAATTATAGGACGGAAACCACTTTCAATTACTATAGAATTGGATTTAAAACCATTATTTTTAACGGGCTTTATTGAAGCAGAAATTTCACGCTTATCACTATTATGTAGCTCGATTGTTTCGCGGGGAACAGTGTCATTGTATGGTACAGGTATAATGGAGTTTTGTATCGAATGTGAGAGCACTGGATCATTTTTTCGATGGCCACTTAAAGTTGTTGGTTGACCAAGTAATAAAACAGAAGCAATTGAAGATTGTAGAGGAAATTGGTTTTCTTGGAGGATCCCTTTTAAAAGTCCAGGCGCTGCTTTACGATAATGGCTTACAATAATGGATGGTTGTGGTATAGGTTGTATTGGTATTTGAGGTGTACGTTGTATCTGTTGTGGTAGTACAGGCTTAGCGGTTGGTACCTTTTTGATAGGTCTGAGAAGTGGGCGACGTCCTGGTAATTTTACAGGATGCAAAAATTCGGTGCTGTGAGGTGGACGAAGAAATTCTGAAAGGCCTATTGGCTTCGGGGACTGTGCTGGAATATTAGTAAGGTTATGAAAATGATGGTAAGATTGTGTATGCTTTGGTTGATGATGCAAAAAATGATATGGTGATGATGTGGATGACGATGGCTTTTTTGATTTTATTCGAGATAAGTTTTGTATATTTTTGTTATGTGAATGTGCATGATTTTCACCATATAAAACTTCTGGTACAGCGGTAGCAATGTGTGGTTCTAAAGGTAGTTTTGAATTGGCTTCGACTGTAATCGTTTTTATACTTCCAACGGTCTTCATATTGGTTTGCTGATGTGTAGGGATTGTAGACATTATTGGAACAGTATCGGGATTACGATTTATTTTTTCGCTGCTGACAATACTTTGGTTTGTATGATTGGAACCATTGGCGTTCTTCAGAATGCTTGCTTCGAGAGCTTCAGCAGCACGGATTCCATCTGAAATCAGTTTAGTAATTTCCGATGATTTCGTTATTTCAAAAGTGAATTTTGGCGGAGTTCCATTCATATTATGATTCTTAATCAAATCTGTTTGGTGCTTGAATAAAAAATTTTCGTTGGGGCTGACCTTGGTTTCATGACGAATTGACGCTTCGGCAGTAACATCCCCAGCATCATCGACATTAGCAAATGGAATGCGCAGTTCTTGGTTCTCCGAAGCCGATGCAGAAAATCCTGGATCTTCGCAAGCATCATGTACGTGGATTTTCCATCCTAAATAGCGATGTGTAAAGCATTGGTAGTAAACAGTGTCGGGGGTATCACGATCAGGAGTCCAAGTTATGACACCGGGTTCACCATGATCACATTTCAAAGTCAAAGTACGTTGATAAGCACCGAAGGATTGATAATCATCTGCAGGTGGACCATCGACGTCCGGCGTCCAGTTGCAAAGTCTACCAACTCCCGTCGGCGTCAACTGGCCCGAACGAGACCGATGCACTCCCGCAAAAATGCGAACAGCCTGTAAATGCAGCGATAAGAGTATTGTGTTGTAATTCTTCAAAAAAAAAAAAGCAAAGAAATAAATATGTGTGTGCATTTAATTAAAATTCTTAACTTCACGTAGGAAAGTAACCAAACCAAACTAATTTCAAATACTGTTACTACAGTTTGGTAACAGGTGTCAGTACTGATGTTCAATAATTCTTTCTATTATTAATTTATATTTGATACATACTACATTTGTAATTCACCTTTCTGTCGTCTCCATTCTAGTAAAGTAAAACTTACCTTCTTCTCTTCTTCTCTTTTGTGTTCGTAACCACCTATAGAATCATCAGTTATATAGAATGGATGGTATTTTGCCGGTATATCAGAATCAATTCCTCCTTCTACAACAAATGTGTACGTTTTGCCACGAACGACATGAATTTCGGGAATGAGCAATCCATTTATATACCATGATATACCCCAACCAACGTGTCCTTGGAAATGAATAAAAAATGGAAAAGTGAAACTATATAAATTTTTCAATAATTGCGTTTCACATACCTGTTATAGCAGAGTAACCATGTTTTCCACCTGTCGGACCCATTTGTGCATAAAAAACGCCATCCTCTGGTTCATAGCATTGGATTGCAGGAATATCCCAGGCACCAGTTTTACTAGCAGGCTTTGGGGTAGGAACTGGACGTGGAGGTTGATGGGGGCGTGATTGTTCTAAAGGTCGTGATTCTTGGCGTCTATTCGGATTCTGAAGTGCCAGTGGGCGTTTATCATAAAATTCTTCTTCAAATTGACCATTAACTTGACTTGGCGTTGTAGATGCCTTACTAGGGTTAAATTCCATGTATGGCTTGCTTGTATCTTCTTCTTTGTCATCCTCGTCATCTGGTTTTAAACCTTCAGGCGATGGACAATTCCAGATAGGTTGTCGGCCAAAATCAATTAAAGTTGAAATTCGGGAAAAATGTGTATGGTATGAAGCTTCGTTACGTTCATTAAGTGGGCCTATACCCCAGACAATCGCTTGAGAAGAATTAGTTAAAATTGGAACGTCAAATTTGCTATTTGATTGCAATGAACGTTGATAGGTAACGATGGAATAACCGTTTACCCATGCTGCGTTTAATAGTCGTATTGAGTTAGTCCCGTTCTATGAAATTATCAAAACATTATTTTAGTTGTTATTACATTATCTGAATAGAGAAGCAAAATAGTTAACCTCAATTTTCACTTTCGGACAGACTCCATGGCCACCAGAACATTGTGACTTATCGCCTAAATAATAATCCTCTGCATATCCTTTACCAGTATCCTTTTCTACCCAAGAAACTACGGCATCGGCGCCAATCATACTGCTTTTTTCAGGATTTTTTGAAACGCCGAATGACATATATTCGTTGGGATCTAAAATAAGAGATTTATGGTATTTTAGTCAAACAGTAGATCCCTTGATTTGCGGAAAACACAAAATACACGAATTATAGGTGAAGGTTGATTGATAATCGTTAGCCGGTTACAAAGTGTTAGTTAACAATAGGGGGATGCGGCCATGTGTGATAGTTCACAAAAATGAGAAATATTTTTGGCTGCCATCCATTTGGGAGATAGCAGAATCCCCTGGGACAACAAGGACGGAAGCAGGTTGATCCTTGTAAGATATACTACAGCGGTCATATAAAGGAACGCAAATTTTTTTTCGGAGTTGTGGTGGAACTGAGACTCCATCGCCCAGTACTAGCATTCTTCCGGTGGCTAAAGGTCTCGCCACAATCCAACCAAGGATGGCTTTTATCAGCGCCTAGGGCAAACTTCCACTTCGTTCTAAGGATCAGGTGGAGATCGACCTGGCTTCACTTGGTATTTCCAACTGGCGCCAAACAACGAAAAGATTCGGCTATAATTGCGTAGGCGGTGCAAACGACAATAAGGAAGGGGAATTGTGAAAAAATTATACCATTAAATACAGCGAAAATTTTCTAATTCTTACTTTTTTATGAAATATACAAATACTCTTCCAATGCAATGTGAGACGGTATATCATCTTGGTAAAAAATCCATAATTTTTGTTTCCATAAACATTTTTGTTTCCGACACCTTTTTTACGAATAATTTCTATTGGACAGTTTGACTATGTGGAACGAGTTCATAACGCTCAACATCTTGGTGGTCGAGTCATCTAAGAAAATGTACACAGTTACATATTGTATGTATCTATTTGCATGTGTTGAATATATGTACACGTATTTTCGAGTGTGCCCAACGTGCTTTTGGGCAGAAGGTTTTTAAGTTATAGAGTGCACACTAATTACATTTTCTCTTTTTGTGAAAGAAAAGACCAAAAATTTTTGGATATCGTTTTTTTTCGATAATCGAAACATCCGTCTTAAAAGGCCGAAATTTCGGGCAAACAATTCATAGATTTTACATGACGATGCGCCATCACACCGAATTGTAATCGTGAACGATTTTAAGACCAAAAACTTGTTCAATACCATCGATCCGCCTTCTCTACCTGGCGAATACCGCATCAAAAACTTTCAAAGGTGGAGTATTTTTATCCATCATGACCTAGCCAACGTAGCCTCTATTTCTTGATTCGCTGAACTACGTCAATGTCGGTAAAGAAGACATAATAGATGTCCGGCTAATGACAATTACATCAGCAGGAGAGTGGGAGGTAAGTCACCTATGCAGAAGATAACAGGAAGATACGGACTTAGAACTTCTAATGCACGGGCTGGTGATAGACGGACGGCCAATTAAGGAGTAAATGTCACAATACAGAGCCGTACTGGCTGTTTGCATAGACAGTGAGGAAACGAAGATGAGCAGTGCTCCTGCAATCTAATAGTAGCTCCGAAGTCCAGGCCGAAATCCAGAAGCCATTGACAGATGCAGCAATATAATTCAGGTGCTTCAGACTAGGAAACAGGTACGTCCTTGTGATTATGGAATACTTTAGCAAAAGGCTGAAGGCGTACCCAATTTCATACCGGGAAGCTGAAATTGTGCCCCTATGACTGGGTTGCCATATACCATGCTCCTATAGAACTGCGCTCTAACCAAGATATGAATTTCGAATCGGCAGTATTCCAAGAGATGTACCAGATACTGAACCGATGCAACCGACCCCTGGAAGAGCATTTGAGGAAGGTCGTAGACAAATGTCAGGATGTTTGGGATATCCACATACCTCTGTTCCTGATGGGATATCGGTCCGCAGTGCACGAAACAAAAGGCAAAACACTAGCAAAGATACTCTTCGGTTGTCTAGCGATTTGAAGTTTAGAGTGAATGGTGATGCGAAAAGAATTGGAAAGGAAGCGTCTAACGCCCTAAAAGAATAGCTAAGAGAGACATGCTCTTGTAAGATAGCGAACTCAAATTATGAGTAGCAAGGTGAAGGTAGGTATCCAAGGTGGAGACTTAATGTTGCTATACAATCCATTACGAATAAAAGATTTGTCCCAAAAACTTTAATGCAATTGGGAAGGTCTATATAAGAAACAAAATGAAATTGGTCCACGCGGGAAAGCTTTAAGCATTTTGAACAGCGAGACGATAAGATAGGTGGAGGGAGTGTTGCGAAAATATCAAATACTAATGACAAATGAAAAGGATATGCCGATAACTAAAGCACATTCTTGAGCACGAGTATCGAATATTCTGTATATCGTCAGAGCATTCCAGCAACTTCTAGGACTGAGTACGGGTACCGTCGATTGGGTTAATATGAGAGCGGCCAGCACAGTGAAGTCAGTTACAAAGTGAACTCGTTGGTGACAACATCGGTGTGAAGTGAAAATAGCAGAGTGTGAAAGTAGTAGTATAAGTCGTTGTGCTGATGCGATGTGTGGTTTATTAGTAATATATATATAATTGGCGCTTTGTAACCGCTGAAGCGATTTTTCGGCCGAGCTCCTCCTTCAATTTTTTGGTTTTGCGTCTTGATGTTTTTCCAACGAATGGAGGGACCTACCGTTTATACTAAGTCGCCTCCGAACAGCTGATGGTTTTTAATGAGGACCCATTATTACATGTCCGAAATACACTCGGAAGGGTGTACATTCCTTGCTTTATACGTTAATTGAATTCTTAATAATTAAGAAACGAACGAGACAACGATTTTGGTGACTCTTATTTAACAATCTTGTGATTAAACTTGAAAGATTTGGGAAATCATCGAGGTATATTTAGCAAAATCCTTAATATGCGTTTCAAGAGTTTCATAAAATGTGGCCGTGATTATTAACTGATTGCGATATTATACGAAAATATTTGTAATTATTCACATTTTTCGAGATTTTTTTTTTTTATATAAAACTTACCGTTGCATGCAAAGTAGATTTGGTTTTCATCCCGTTTCCACTATTTTCTCATTAAAATTTGGTCGTGTAGAGAATCTTGTATTATTGAATCTATTGTTTTTAGCGTATAATATGTTTTTCATATATTTACTAATCGTACTTGGTCTCGCGATGCTGTTGTCAAGTCTTACTAAAATCAGTTTTCGAGTAAATGAATAATATTATTTTTTTTTTAAATGAGATTATTCAATCTCCACAGTACAAACTAGCAGGCCCTGCCAAACGTTACTGCGGCATAACAACAAAACTCGTGTAAAAAATATATATAATAACCATTGCCAAATGTAAATACAGTATGATTGCCACTACGTTAATCTTCACTTGGGCACAATAAGATTGAATGAATAAGAATACGTGTGGTTTGCAGCCATATGGATGTAATCGCATTGTCGAATTCAAAACACACTGTATACTAACAAGACACAGTGACTTACGAACTATGTCTATATTTTTGTCTAAAACATACCATTTTCCTAGAGATATTCATCTGTAATCCTTCTACCGCAAAGAAAGTATTGTATTGATATAGGCGAAAAACTAACAACCTATGAAATTTCAAGCAAATCGAACTTGATCCCTGATTCATTCTCATAATTTATTTTGACTAGAGTAAAAGCTGTCTTCGTACAAAAGTTCAAAATACCATAAAAAATATTTGTATTAATGAGATCGTCTGGCCCATTTCCTGAAAAGAAATTAATTTGAACTAAATCGGACTAAGAGCTCAATTTTTTTGAGCCTATCTTAATTTAGTCAGAAAGCTATCTGTGTACCAAAATTTAACTAATGTGACCTATAAAAAATATTTTATGGAATAGATCGGCTGTAGGTAGACCTTTCTTCTAAATCGAAGAATAAATACTGTTTTTTTTTTTTGAAAAATCATTTCTTTGCCATTTAAAAATAAGATAAACTGTTTTTCGTTAAAAAAAAATTTTGCCAAATCAGCTCAGCCGTTCCCAATTAAAAATTATGCGTACTTGAAGACCAAAAATTAACCACATATCTCGTTCTGAGTTATTTTTTCTCACACTTGGATATAATATATCTATTCTGCATAATACATTGAAATGACAATTGTCATAGCGCACGCTTTGGAATTGCTCAGCTTTTACGCCGAGGAAACAGATACCGTATACGAACGGGCGTGCAAACCATAGAAACTATTTTTTCGAATGGATCGGTCCTAGGTACTATTCCTTCAGGTTTGAAAAATAGATGTTATGTTATTTTCAGACCTATTGATTATGCACATGAAATTTCATTAACATCGGTCAAGCCGTTTCGGAGGATATCGTGTCTACGCTTCTGGACTTCAGGGAAAAGAGGTTTGACAGATTTTGTATCGACGAAAACACCAGTGGTTTTCATGAGTTATGGTTTTTGCACTTTTTGTTACGAAAATATGTTTTCGATGTTAGCTCGAACAAGATATTAGGATGAAATATTGCGCATATGCTTTAATATTAAAAGTATGGCTGGAAATTCCAGATGAGAATAATGAGTTGCATGTGAACTGGAAACTTGTCTGATTTTTATTATAAATACCTAAACTGTGATGGTAAGTAGAATATATCAACTCATTTGTCACTCTTACACTTAGATATATCGGATAAGAGTTAATGTACCATTTCAAGATCACGAAAGATATAAAAGTAATGGTAGCTTCTGAAAAAAAATCAACTTAAAAATTTCCTTACAATACTGGACGGGAAACTTATTTCTAGTAAAACTATTTTATCAAAATATGTATAAATAAATTATTTCCCAAAAAGGTGACGTCTTTCAGCAGAAGCTTTTCACCAATTTGTGGTGTGCATCTTGATTTTTTGCCAAAAACTGTTTGTTTTTTATAACTTTGGATTATGGCTATCCTCACAATAGCACACACTTTTATGTATAAATTCGGATACTGTGGACGTCTTTATAATATTTTTATTCCTTTGAAAACTCGATATAATTATTAGTATTAGATTTTAACATACACGTACACTGTCTAAATCATAAATAGGTTCGTTATTTTTTTATTCAACGGAACCTATTTGCAAAAATAAAAACATGGTCACAGTCATTATTAACTAAATGTTTATATTAATATACCGAAATGCAGGAGAGAAAGTTGTTTGTTTTTGAGCCGCCCCGTTTTTCGTGGTGTGCCAAATAACGAAGCGAGTCAACAGCCCAAGATTAAATAGTGTTACACTCCTTTTAAAAACATTCAATAAGGTAATAAAGATTTATTAAATCTAGATAAGATATAGTTACTTATTTTGTGCATTTTAAGCCAGTGCTTTGTTGTATAATATTTCGATAAGATCGGATCGGACTATTCTAACACAACATTTTTACCAAAGTAATAACTCTTACGTAGGAGAATATATGCAATAGATCATCGAACTTATAAAAATTATCACTTATTTGTAAGACAAGTGAAATAAACTTACCTAATTTAGCGATAAGTTGTATAACAATACTGTCACCCGCTACGGCCCATCTCACTTCAAATGCTAAATCATCATAAAGAACTTCACAATTTAATCTCGACTGCAAAATTTTTGAAAAGAATAAAGTAGTTTTGTTTGTGCCAACGAAATAATAGGAAATAATGCGAATTTAACCAAAATGTGAATTAACTAAATATGTTGGTGTTAGATGTGATTCCCATACGCCCATATGTGAATTTTGTTGGGATTAGAAAATAAACATTTTTTATATACATATGTTTACATTTAGGACATCTCCAATATTGATTGCAATGGAATTTACACTAGACATTTGTTACATTAATATAAAGGAGCCATTAGGCACTTGTTTTGTTTGTTTGCAAGCGTGTCTTCAAACTTTAAACGAATGTAAATTTATTTTTATTTTTATTAAATTGGCTAAGCATTTCTATACAATATGCAATATACAATATGGGTATGAGCCTCTTTGTTTAATGTCTTATTTCATTTTGTTTTATCGAGTCAGATACCAAGAATGGCAACCTTTTAATCAGGATTTTCTTGTGAAATGTGAATTTGATGTTAATTAAAGCCTGCAGAGTAATCAATTTAAAAGTTATGTTGTTCGTGTACATGACATGAATTTTAAAGACGACAAGCTCATATCAACCTTGTTGAAAGTTATATTCAAAATGCACGATTCACTTGTACAAAAATATATGTATATTTATATAGTCAACGTAAATATAAATAAAATTTTTTAAAACATATTTATATCTGAGTTTTATAAACAAATAATTTACAACAAAACTATAAAAATGGAAACTCGAACAGCTCAGGTTTTTTTAATTAATTTACTGTTACATTGCTTAATACATCTTAGAAAAGGTTGCCAGGGCAGTGAAAATTCTTATACATAAGCTAATATTTATACAGTAGCTTTTTAAATTCAATCGAATAATAATATATTCATTTAAATATTATATGGTTAGACTATTCACAGTGACATTTCTCAACAGATAATTTTGTACTAGGCCTACCGGAAGAAATTGGTGAAATTCACCCTACACATATACATATGTATAAATGGATGTGTTTATATATTTACGAATTAATTAAAAAAGGTTCTCTATACATAATTTTGAAGCAATTATAAATAATCGTTTATAATTTTGCACACAAAACTCTTAGCAATGTTTTACTTGAATCTCTATTCCAAGAATTTGCTCTTCTTACATATCAGTGCTTAAGTTAATCAAGATATAAGTGCATATATTACGTATATATCCATATGTATTTTAAAATTGTTGGAATGAGACCATGTTAGTTGGTTTGTCCGTCTGTTCATGTACACTAAAAGAATTATTGAAATCTTGTGATAAAACTTGGTATACAGATTTCTTATATCAGAAATGATCACGTCCAATATGAGCGTTGTACTTAACTTTGAATGTTCAGAGCATTAATTTTAAAGTCGACAGAAATTTATTTATTTTGACCAATAATCCAGATTATTTCCATTATAAGAGAAAAACACGCGATCATTACGTTTTTCCAAAAAAAATTAATGAAAAATTCAGGATTTGTTGATTCTTCTTAGTTTGGTTGAGTTGCCACGATTAAGGGCAGTAGCCAACCTTTCAACTAAGAGCTACCGAAAATGTTTTAACTAATATTGATCATGGCCTTCATTTAATTAAAAGGAAAGTATCACATTTGCTTCCCACATTACTTATACTCGTACCACATATATCCATTAATCTCATCAATCTTATAAAAAGTTAATTTTTTTATTTCATTAACATCTTTTTAGTACCGGTTCGGTGGAGCTCACTCATGTAACACAAAATCGGTGAAGTATTTTACTTGCCTCTAACATAGCTTAGTTGAGAAGTTAGTTAGTAAAAATGCCACATTGCAGTTTCGCGTTGAGTGTGACCTTATTGGAAAGCAAGTTTTCATGATTTTTTACTTTTTTTAGATAAGTATTTTATATTGGGTGATTGAGGCAAAAGAACTTCGGCTGCTAAAATATCTATACATTGTATATACATATGTAAGTGCATATAACACAAGTGAAAATTGAAAAATTGGCTTTATTCATCGTTATACTCATATTATTGTAGTAGTATTACTATATATTTTAAACATGGATAAATACATTCCTGCTTTTTTGATCGTTTTGGACAGAGCTTTCCTAGTGTCAACAGAAACAGATCAAAAAGTCTAAAGCCAGCGCGTTCTTCTAATATCTTTACCCTATCTTCACTTTTTGAGCACGATTTTGTGGATTTTTTATGTGATATTGGTTTATTGACCATGTTTGAAGTCAGTCAATCAATGTTTTATTGTTGTTTCTGATAGTGCGAAGTCTTTATTAAATGCTAAACGGTGTTTTCCCCATTAAGAAGTAGTATAAAATTAACCTCGAATTTTTTTTCGATACATCGTTTTCAAAATAACAAAAGTAGTCTCACTCTTACTGCAATAACTCACCCACTTATGAGTGGAATATCATGAAATTTAACACCTGCAGGCTATCTGTTTTGTTAACCCCGGTACTTTTCTGCGAATGTGTTATAAAATGATGTAAAAAATGTATCGTAATTCATAAATCAATCAAGGTTGTTGCGGCGTCTTTGTATTTTTAGAAAGTTTTTTTCTTTTTGCTGAATAATACTTTCTATTATTCTAGAAAGTTTCGGATGAATCACACCTCGAGTGATCAAAAAACTTGAATGAAAATTTTAACTAACAGTTTTATGGGGTCTATGTGAAGGCATACGGACAGTTTGTGAATTAGGTACAAATTCAAATTAATAACGAAAATTTCAGCAAAATGTTGATATATACATATATATACACACACACTTTATTCGCAAAACGATATGCCAAGAGTTACTTGTGATATTCTCAAGATATGTTCAAGCCACTTGCCGTTGAAACGACTTACACCATTTATGACAAATATTTAGTAATTCAACGTTTAGCAGAACATTTCATACATAATGAATATAGTTGAAGTTGGAAAATTTGAGTTATAGAAGTTTCACTATTTACCAATACGAATTCAATAAAATACTTTAATAATCAGCTAAGTAACGTTGCAACTTCTGGTAACATAGATATAACAAATCGCCTTAACCCGTTAAGCGTAATGCATGCATGTGCGTTTTTACCTGTGGACTAATGCCAAGCATTTTTAAGGATGGTGGCACATTTAATCCTTCGGGTATACGAACATGTCCAAAGTCGACTGTGAAAGCCTCACACCATACACCAAAATGTCCTATATCAAAAATAGTCAAGTCGTCGGGTAACGTGAGTACAATAGTCTTGCGTTCATAGCGACGCAATGGAATTTCTTTGCCATTTTCATCTGGAATACGTAGGCCTTGTGGACTCGGTCGCTGTCCACGACCAACCCAGAATTTGGCATCTGAAATTAAAAAAAAAAATTAATTGGATTGATGAAGAAAAAATTAAACTAGTAAACTGAAGTTGGGGATAAATATAATTTGTAATGAATTAAAAATGCAAATATGTAATAAAATAACGTTGAGAGTTGAAATGGTTGATGTAAAATATGCATGTGTTGTTATTTTTATTTGTAAGTCGCGGTAGAAATAGCAAGTATTAGTCCTGTTCTTACTGACCTTCCTCACCGAACAGAGCTTATACGATCATAGTCTTCTGTGAATTCGCTGGTTATCGTTATGTAATATTTTTAAAGAAAATACTGCTGGTGCAACACCATAAGGGCAATGTGTTAGCGTTAAACAAAATGCAATATTGATTGCCCCGTTTATAGCCTCCACCTTGGCAAAGCCAAATATTTATTTTTCAATTACAAATTTTACTTCTCTAATTGTGGACCTTGGTAATTGGTTTTGGTATTATTCAATTTGGCGTTTTCGAAAAAATATTACCTAAAGATGAGTTTTACCAAATTAAATGTAAATAATATTTTTATTACCTGGGGCTTCGCCGTCATAGCTGAAGTTTGGTATTAAAAGCGTTTGAGCGTCTACGATTACAATATTATCCGAGGATACTTCGTGAACGCCCTTCAGAGGTGCAATTTTCTGAGGTCGCGGGAAGTCCAAATCGGATGGAATAGAGACGTCACCGAAATTCACAGCAAACTCATCGCACCAAATCGAAAACCATTTAATGTCACGCAAAGTCTTCCCGTCGGGTAAGGGGAGAGTGATATCTTTGTTGCGGTAACGGCGAGTAAGAGCGTTTTCACCACCACGTTCATCTCGCAAACGTTGAGCTCCATCATTGCTAGGTTTTGGTGTATGACCAACATAAAAGTAAGCAGCTAAACGAAATGAGAGATTTATTTAAATTATTTGAGCTGTTATACAATGGTGTAAGTTTACATTTGGTCAGAATTAATTATTAGATAGAACGTCGAATATAGTTGACGAAATTATTAAAACGTGTTTTCTTCTATTCCAAATTGGAAATTCTTTACACACCTTTAAATAAATCCAAATTGAATAAATTACAAATGCGACTTTCCGTTACGAGAGCGAATTATTTTTGAGCTTATAATGATATTAATTATAAGAAATTTTTTTGTGATATTTATGATTAGTGATCTCAGCTGGTACGCAAAAGACGTGAGCTAATGCATTCCGGTGTAAATGCTTTTTTGGTGTTAAGTTTCGATGAGATTGGTAAGGAGGTTATTGTTATTGTATGTATATATAGACATATCTAAGAATGCACATGTAATTTCCAGGAAATCCCAAAAAACAATGATTTTCACTGAAGACATGTATTGCATGAGCATGCAGAAAGAATGACGAACGCACTTGACTTGTTCTAATTTTTTTGCTGCGTTCACATACTACTTATTGTTATTACCTTGTTGCTTCACGCATGCACTCACTTTAAACGCGCTGTATTAACAGAACCGCAAGAAAAGAGAATACACTAGTAGTGCAGTAAACAGGTACCGGCGACCATATCCGAACCGATTAGAAGCAGTTTGAAACTTTAGGACCCTCATTCGTTGAAAAGATGCAAAAGGCCTTTTATATCATTTGTATATAATACATTTGAGTAATGTGTGTAATTATGGCGGGGTATACAAGGGGATTAACAATAGTTTGGTCAGCTGGTGACTTTCAATTTGTTTTTGTAAAATCTAAATATATCAAATCCTTTGCAATTACTTTATTAGACTTCCGATCAAATTTTAGAACGATCGACTATAATGGGGACGAGAAAATTCGAGATAGCACAGAAATTTGCTATGTGATTCTCTTCAGGTTTACAGACAATACAAATATTCAGTGAATGCCAAAGTAACAGTAGTATAAGTACCACAAATTTTAGATGATGCCCAAAAAGAGGATCGCATACATTTTGCCTCGGATATCGTTTATCTAGCAACTTTATTAAAGTCGTTACTGATGACGAATCTTGGTTCTATAAGTACGATCCATAGAAAACCAGTTCATGGTATGGAGCCCAACAGGAGCAAACCCTCCCCTAAAATCTAAGCAACAAAAACCAACAGCAAAAGGAATGATGTCAGTATACTATTCTGCTGCTATTCCACTGGAAAACGTCCAGACGGAAACTGCAAAAAGATACACCCAAGAGTGCTTACCGAAAGTTTTTAAAATTTGTTTGGGAAAACATAAAGAAAGAGCATTTGCGACGCTGTTTTTTACATCATGACAACGGGCCATCCCACACTGCTGAAATAACGAGTAGTATTATTGCGATCTCTGGGATCGATATGACGCCTTGTGATTTCCAGCTATTTCCAAAAGTTTAAAAGGAAATGTCTTTAATAGGAACTAGGAGATAATTAATGCGGTTAATGTTGAACTTGATAAGCTTAAAAAGGAAGATTTTGAAGACTGTTTTCAGAAGTGGATCCATATGCCTAAGAAATACATTGAAATCAATGGCGATTATGTAGAGAAAGTAAAAAAGGACAAAGATTACAAATAAATACGAGAATGATTGTTTTTTTGTTTTTTTTCTGGTCAATTTACCGAACTTTTGTTAATACCCACGTGCATGTAGAATTAAGTACATATGTACGAGCATATCCTTATGACATATTGCCCACATCGAATTCACTTAAGCGCGCACACATTCATATACATATGTACATAAACCAAATAGATTTCAAATATAAATATGTTTACCCGGAGCTTCGCCATCATAATTAAAGTTTTTAATAAACAAGGTACGAGAATCGACGGCGTACACATCTCCTGAAACGCCATGATGTAATCGCGTTAGTGCGCCTATTTTAGTACCATAATATGGAAACGAGGAACTCACAGTAGTAACTGAAAAAGAAAATAAATTAGTAACGTGTAATTTAAATTATATTTGAATATATATATAATTATATTATAATTAGTACGTGATCTAAAATTAAAACTTTCGTCATTCCGTTGATAAAAAATAAAATGATCTGCTGAGAATAATACTTATTGAATCGATACGTGGGAAGCTTAGCAATTTATTATCACAGGTTCTGCTCGCTTTTGTATTTGTTTTTAAATTATTTGTGAAAATCGAAAAACAAATAAACCGAAAACTAAGAAAGCAAATTACTATATTTCAAGGTAGAGTGAACACTAAAATATTGTTGAATAACATAAATGCAAAAACCATAAATTTATTTATGTACATATATTAAAAGTGAGTAATAAAACATTACTGAATAACTCCTCAGCCGTAGTCACCGGTAATTCAACCACACCTACAGCTAATACAGAGTGGATGCGTCCACCAAGCTGCTTACGACCTACTTTTTGCAATACATGTGGTTTTTATTTATCGGTACGAATATGTACTCGGAACAAGGGTACACAAGAGATGTAGACGTAGCCAATGGCCATCCGGCAGCAGATCCGACTAATTTCTTTTTAGCTATCTACAACCCAATAAACATAAATATTAAGTTCATATGTATAAAACTCGAATTTTGAGGCGATCTCTAGTAAAGAAGTTTTTCTGGCACCGTCTGAATAGCATAATTAAGAAAATATTTCTTTTAACAATATGTATATTTATTTTAGAAAGACAGATTTATTTAACACCATAATACGAGTATAAAGTGATTTAAAAACATTGGTAATTTCGGTAAGATATCACTATACAATATATAAAAAAAATATAATTTTAAATATTCGATAACTACTAAGTTATATCAGCGAAAACGATCGTGTACCGAATTCGAAGCGAAATCGTTATGTTAATTGGGAGCAAATGCATTTTATGCTTTAATGTATGTGTTGCCTCAGTCATGAAGTTATCAGCCTCTTTTCGTAGTTATATCAAGGAGAAATACGTATTTTATGCTAATCAAATTCAAATATTTTATGTCTGTGCTTTCGTACATATGCATGTATGTATATATGAATGTACATTTCATGCAAGAGAAAATATGAATGGATTACATTTATGGCATATGTATCCATACATGCACAAACATAACAAATATCTAAACAATATGAATTTGTTAGCGGGTGCGTTAGGCTGTCTATAATCTGACTAAAACTTGTAAACAAGTGATACAAGTACGCTTATATAAAACACATACTTGTATGTACATATATCTAGGTGTATAATACATCCATACAAATCATTTATATTCATATGTACATACATATATATGTATTCATGTGCACACATGTATGTGCACATGTATATGCACATTGACTGTTATAAAGGTAATATTAAATATCCTCATATTCGTTGAATAAGTACAAATTTTAAGTTTTAAAGGAAATGCATCTATATAAACATACATATTTGTGTTCTCATACTTACATACATAGTATTGTACTAGTATATGTATGTACGTAATAACGTAGTTTGTAAATTTGTTTTTAAAACCATCTTATAAGATATAAGGGTATTTTTTAGAGTTATGTACTAAGTTCGATATTTAACACTCACCGCTGTTGCAGCATATTAATCCAAATACAACGTTTAATAAAATCTGGACTTTCGGAGCCATATTGAATTATTAATTAATTAGAATATGTATATTTGAAATATGTTCATCCGCGGCTTTTTCGGTGATTTCGCCAAAGGTTACATATGAACATATGTATATTTATCTGAAATTCAGAAATCTTTTACGTATGAGTGTCGCGCCATAAATTCGGAACTTACATACATATATGTATATATTTTTTTTTATCAAAACACTATATTGCCACACGTACATATACATGTATATATAAATAAAATTGAAGGTGGGTAGAAATAAAACAATATTAAGAAATTCCAACCAAAAATGTACATATCTTGAGTTTCATACATTTAGTGAGCATTTCGTAAATCACTCTATTGTACAACACTAAAGCTTACTTCGTACAAAGCAACCTTTCCTGTCCCCGCTGGATTGTTGGCAACAAAATGTAGTTTTAGCTTGAATCTCCAATTTGCAAATTTCTTGTTATTTAAACAACTTGTTACCAGTTTCAACTTTAAACTTGCACAGAAGCTACAGATGATTCCCACAACAAAGAAAATAAACAAGTCAATTAAACATTTTATTATGTCTGTATTGGTGTGTAATATATTTTTGTCTATAAATGGATAAAATTCAGTTAAGGCAAAGCACACTACTATTTTAAATACGTCCGAACGCCACTAATAGCCAAACTGAAATGAACACCAAATGTACAGACCAGGCCCGGTAGGCCATTACCAAAGCCACGAAGCTACTTCACTGAGACGATAGCTAACATTCAAACAAAACAATAGATGATCACAGCTTTGGCTGAAGTTGTAGATTCATGTGTATATTTGTATATACAATATATATATATATATATATATATATATACATAGATTATGCTTTATATTGGTACTGTGGAATTTTTACTAAATATAAAATTATTGTGATATTATTGCCCAGAGGTGGTCAGCGATGCTGCGGTGCCCCTTACATGGTTTGAGTACTAAATCCTCCTTACATATGGAGGTGTGTATATTAGTATGCGATTCATTTGTCGAGGCCACTCTGTACGCAAACCCTCAGTCCGCTAATGTAATACAGTGTCTGCGCATGCGCACCTCTTAGCTAAGCAATGAATCTTATCTACTAGATAATGACTCTTTTGATGGCCAAATTCGGAGCTTAAATAATATCGTAATTATTTACCCGCCTTCAACCTATTTACAAAACGTGTGTACATATATATTATATATTATGACACCATCTTTCAATGTATGCACTATACGTTTATGCATTCGGGAATTTGTATTATAAATTCTTCTGCATGTTAAAAAATTGCATGGGAAATCATTTTGTATATCATTATGTGCATACATTCATCAGAGTGCATTAGGAAATAACGCAATTACTTTTTTCTTACCAAAAAAAAAGCTAAATTTAATTTTTTAATTTTCATGTTCTGAAAAACCAGCGGTTTTTGCGGCCTCTTTACACTTTATAATACATATGTATATGCATAACTCAAAGAGACTAAGTGCCTGGGAATACATCTGGCAAAAAGACTCACTTGAAGAACACACACGTTTATAAAAGGGAGGTCTCTCGACTTAAATTTTAGACTTTACAGATGTGGGGTAAATTACGAAATCATTCTAATCCACCCATTTTAACGGAACTAATAACCTACCCTTTATCCGCATAAAAAGAAATTCAATTAAAGATTTATTTTTCGAATTTCCCTTTTCCTTTTTTTCATTCCACTAATATTGTGGAATTAAATAAAATTTGTCAAAGATGGAACATGGCTTCATCACATTGAACAAAACTTTGCCATGAAAGTAAAAGTCTATTAAAAATTTTACTGAATTGGTGATGATCGTGTCAGCATATGGAATCCGACAAAATTATACTATATCCCTCTCCTTTTAATGCAACATGTTTAGTATCCTAGACATTATAACGTCTTTAATAATTTCTGATTTTTAATTTCCTACGTTGGGTTTCAAATTTAAGTTAGTATTTTAGTGTTTTCTTTTATGGGTTCTTATCTTTGTCAGCTGATTGCGATAAACTTCTCATGAAAGTTTTAGAAGCAACGATTTGGTCGTAATTCGTATGGTAATTGAAAATGAATTACCACTATTTGGCGTAATATGCTGTCAAAAATTTGTATGGCGAAAGTAAATCAAACGCAGCGATATAATTTAGTTTCGCTTACAAGAAGAAATAACTCAACGAAATGAAATCGTTTGGTTTTGGTGCCATGTTATCAAAACGAAATGTAATCGTTAAAGTAGAAACAGCATAAACTCATCTTTAACGTTAATTTTTAAATGGCTACTTGCTCTGAGATAATAGCACACTTCAATTTTCTGTTAACTATTTATTTCGCTTCAAGTAAAAATTAAATAAAACTTAATTTGATAACTGGAATGATAGAGCGTGGTATTAAGAGCTTAATGAAAGTCGTTCTCTCATAACACGGATGGTAGTACTTTAATTTTAGTTGTAAGCTCACTAAAACTTTTGAGACAGGTGACAGTTAAAAAGTGAAAAACGAAAATAAAAATTGGTAAATAAGTAAGGGAATGTCAATCCCTCAGAGTGTATATTTGACATGAAATAAAAGTTGACAAAAAAAAAAACACCAGCCGTTCGGAGGCGAACAATCATAAGACTCATGATACAAATTGGAGGAGCAGCTCGGCTGAAAATCGCTTCGGCGGTTATAAGGCCCCAGTTATACATACATATATATATATATAGTGCATTGGATTACCTCGCTTGTTCTTCAACTATCGTACTCGCTATAAGAAGCTGCAAGTACGCAAAAAGTCAGGCGAACAGAAATTCTCACTGGTCGACAAAATTGAAACCCCTTCTGCCCCATGAAATCTTATATCAAATTTTAAATGTACGAGTGTTAGCACACCAAATCAAATGTACAAAAATCTATACTTAGAAAAATGTCATTGCTTAACTTTTAATAAACACTTATTGATGTTCACAATAATAAGCTGCTCACATTTCTTGACTCCGGTTCCTTTGATAACACTTTTCCATTAAGGAAATGTCCTGATATAACCTCTCACCTAATTCGCCACTCACAGCACCCGAACTGGCAGGAGATGCTTTTCCAAGTCATTGTTGTGTTGAATTGTTTTTGGGTTTCAGTTTTATGGATTAAACGTGGTGGTTTCCGAGATAGCAGTTTAAACTTCCACCGTCCAAACTGTTGTTATAAATTTTTCACTATTCCACAAAAATATATGGACTAAGACGGCTCCATAAAACTGAAATCTAAAAACAAACTTAATTTTTTACACGATTTTGTTCCATTGAGCACGATCAAAACACGGTAAAATTTTGTTTGGATTAAAATTAATTTCTCCGAAAAGCATAGGTTCATATCACATTCAAAATTATTTGTGACAGTAACTAGAAGTGTAGCCGGGTTCGCTAAAGAAATTTTTATAGGCAAATTTAACATATTAAGGTAAAAAGTAAGCCAAAAAATATTTTAGATTTATTCAATTGTTTTTGGTTTCAAATTTTCTTAAATACTTTATGTATCCCTTAAGAAAAACGCCGAAAACTACAAAACCGAAATTAAAACGTACTTTGGAAAACATAATTGAAATATGAGATGGCCTTCGAAATGGAGAAGCCTCAACATGTCTTAGCTAAATGTGCGGCTTTAACGACGCCATCCTAAACTTTGTTAAAGTAAAGCTCTTAGCGAAGACGACATTTTACATTTTGCTATTGCCCAGGATGCTGATGCTATAGAAAGCAGCGATAGTGAAGTTAACATGTTCTTCATTTCTGGAAATATCGTCTGAGAAGGACTTTAACTTGCTAACAAATTGCGATACCATCTCGTCACATCGATCCTAATGTAGAAAGAGCTGCACACATTGCTTTTAGTTCCTGAACTTACATACAATTTTTCACATTTCTTTTCAGCTAAGAGTGCATATCTATTTTTCCTTAATAAGTATGCTTGAATTGAAACATATTTGAAAAATCTTTGTTTTTCACTTATTTCAATAAGTTCTATAAATAAGGATAGGTGAGAGGACCTATTTAGCATACGATCAATGTATTTTTTACACGAGTTTTCCTGGGACCAATTACCGTGAAAAAACAGAATTAGGTGTATATATAATAATATTGTTGCGAAAATGCGAGGCGAATGTCAGATGAAAGAGAGAAGCCGATAACTTCCATAGCGAACAATTCGATGCTTCTACGCTTTCGTCTGCGAGCAGCCGACTGCTATATAAAGGCGACACTCAGCTGCAAGTCAAGCAGTGACAAAGCAAATTGGTTGGCGTTAACATCAGTGAAGACGTAAAGTGAACGCGTAGGGAATTACATTTAAGTAGAGGAAATTGTGAAAGTTGATGTTAGTGATTATAAATAGTAAAGTGCAGTATAATTGAATTGTGAATTACTGAGAGAATAAAGGACATTAGATAGAATCTTTATAACGAAAGAAACTGCAAACTAAGTTGGCGAGTTTTTATTTAACAATCCAGAGATCGTACCCGAAGGATCTAGAAAATAATCGAGGTTGATTCAGTAAAATCGTAACAATATTATTAATACCTATGTTTAATCACAAATGATGATGATGTTTTTCAAAAATTAATTTACTCTTAATTTTCACAGAATCCTTTATGCAAATTCTCATTTAATTTTGCTGGATATTTATTGTTAATTTTTATAGACTATTTTTCGGAGTGGCAACGCCTGCCTAGCCAATTGATATTTTTCGTAATTGTAGAGTTCCTACTATCAACACTGAACATTTTATAAAGAAAACCCACCGGCAAAGACGACTGTAGCGTTGAACATTCCAACAAGTAGAAAAACTATCATCTGCAGTGCAATTCTGTAACTTTTTTCGACACGATTTTGCGAATCGCAAAGTTGCGAATTTTGTCACTTGTGCTAACGATTATGCAATCCTCTAACACAGTTTTTACGATAATCGACATCCGACATTTCCATTTTATTGAAATATAGGAAAGGTGGCACCACAGCTTAACAAACCGTCAAAATATGCGAAAAGCACAAAGAGGAATGACAAAAGCAAATAAATTTTTATAGAAATTATTTTTATTAAATGAATAGCAATGCATTACAAAGTTTATCAAAAGCATGTTATGGTTTGCACTTCCATGCATGACTCTTCGCTCTATAGAGGAGCTCCAAATCAAATAATTGTGCCGCGCTCGTGGGTACTTGGCATTTGCCACTATAATCTTGCGATAGGGAATAACATATCTATGTGAAAAAATTTACTACAATAGTAATTGGAAACAAATTTACTCTTACCATTTGCACATTGATGGAATGGTATCCATGGTGTTTTACATACGCTTCTTCATGATTTTTGGGACTCATGATTGACACATGAGTGCAATCGATAGCTCCAATAGTGCCTCCAACAAATGGTGACGATGACAAAGCAAAAATTTCCTTTGCAGCTTGCATTGAACGGTTGATTTCGTCTGTTACGCGATGAATACAACGGCTTACTGACGAATGACTCATGGATATCCCGCATTGCTCTCCTACGGGACGTTGATAGCATCCAGTCGCAAGGCGGTTAGAACTTTTATACATTTTAATAGTGTTAAGACTAAAAAAAATATTGAAAAAATATATTATTACCTGTTTCTCAGTAGACAATGCTGTTATTCTTCTTCCTTTTAGT